TAGATTTTAGATTTAATGTATGCAAGTTTGCTGAAAAAGAAGTACCGTAGCTATTAATGTGTCTCTGTGTGAAAACATATCAAGCAGTCCAGCATATGGTGCTTGGATATATGTCTGTTTTGTTTAAAAATATCATTGAAAAAAGAGCAATAGTTAATGCTCCTACATCCCCCACCCCAGCAAGGAACAGAAGCCCTCTAATTACAGGCAAATTAATCTCTTTTTCACCAGTAACAGAAGCATCATTCAAACAGAAAACAAGAACAGAAGTAGAAGCTGTAAGGAAACTAATGTTTCAGGGGGCTTTTGCTGACTTCTCTTTAAACTTCAGAGCACCTTGCCCATGCTGGCTGGATATGATTTGACTTGTAGCACAAGAGTGTGGAACTCTAAGGTGTCTCCATTACATTAATTGAAATATTGCATCTTCATTTTAATTCTAATTCCAGATGAATTTTAAAAATTCCTATGCCTAAAGGTAAAGGTAAAGGTTCCCCTTGACAATTTTGTCCAGTTGTGTTCGACTCTAGGGGGCGGTGCTCATCCCCGTTTCCAAGCCATAGAGCCAGTGTTTCATCTGAAGACAATCTTTCCGTGGTCGCATGGCCAGTGCGACTTGGACACGGAACGCTGTTACCTTCCCACCGAGGTGGTCCCTATTTATCTACTCGCATTTGCATGCTTTCGAACTGCTAGGTTGGCGGGAGCTGGGACAAGCAACGGGCGCTCACTCCATCACGTGGATTCGATCTTACGACTGCTGGTCTTCTGACCCTGCAGCACAGGCTTCTGCGGTTTAGCCCGCAGCGCCACCACGTCCCTCAAATAGTCCATGTATGGAAATAATCTCTTACCCAAATATACCTAAACTTTCTTGCAGAAACACAGGGGTTTGAAAATTGAGCTATATGCAATGTTTAGCCATTATATCTTCCTCTTGGACGCCTGCCTTAATGGTGGTGGCGATGGTGGGTTGATTGTGTCAGAGAAGCTAAAAGCAGTGCTGTCAGGAGGCAAGACTCCGTTGCAAGTCTGGACTCATAGCAGACTCAGGACAGAATGGTCAAGCTGAGGCACAACACTAAGATGCAGCTACCCTCTTCAGGATTAGTGGTTACATCAGCAGAAGAGAATAGATTGATTGATTGATTGATTTTTTTATTTTTTATTTTATTTTTATTTTATTTTTATCTCGCCTATCTGGTCTTATGACCACTCTAGGTGGCTCCCAAATGCATACATAAAAAACATATAAATATGACACAAAAATTATTACATCAACTAATAAATTATTCCAGATGGCAAGAGAAAATCAAGTGTTAACTGGAGGGAAGGCCTGCATGAACATCCATGTTTTTAGTTGGTTTTTGAAGATACCCAGTGAAGGGGCCGCACGAATCACCAGAGGGAGATTGTTCCAGTGGCGAGGAGCCACCGCCGAGAAGGTCCGTTTTCGTGTTTTTTCCCTCCGGGTCTCCCTCGGCGTCAGGCTCCTCAGCCTCACCTCCTGACTCGCTTGGGTGGTACGGGTAGACCTTGGTGGGAGTAGGCATTCCGCCAAATATCGAGGCCCTAAACCGTTTAGGACTTTATAGGTAAGCATTCCAATGGTGATGTGGGCGAAGCTACCGGGCAGCAGCAGTAGTAGAAGGTGACACTGACAAAGCATCTTTCACAGGTAACTGTAATGACTTTCAAATTAAGTATTCTGCAGCATGAACCTTGAACACTCTATGATGAGACTATCCAAAATGAAAGCGGTGATAGGGCTGCACAACAAAAAAACTCAAATGTTCAGGGTAGGGCACTCTAGTAGTGAGAGAAAAAGGCAGCAAATGTAAACAGTACCAGTAGGTGATGGGGCACAGGATTTGATTATATCACCTCCCACAATTGTTAAAAGCAGATGGCAAAATACATAACTGGATGGAACCCAATAACAAGGACCAGTTTCTCTGGCTGGCACTTGGTCTGCTTACTCACCATGTATTCCCTTCAGTATCACGCTTCCCAAAGGCACTGTAGGAACCATTATCATGCTTGTAGAGCAGCTGACGCTGGTAACCTGTAGGAAGCAGGGAAGGGAAGATGTAGCACCGCCATTTGCTTTTCGTTATTTCTACTCTTACTTATGTACTGGTCTCTCTTTCCAAGCAGAAACCTCCCAGAGTTGATGACTAAGTTAAAACAATTAAACAATAAATATAGCTGTAACTGTACCAGAGGAAAATTACCACAAATCATATGAAAAAGTAAAATCCAATATTTAAAATGACTAGAAAAATCTTGAAGTCTTCAACAAGCACAGAAAATACATAAGGCTCAGCATGTGGTCACTGGGATTTTATTAGGTGAACCTCATATATGAATTTAATATGCAATCAAAGGTTTGACGTTTTATATTTCAATATAAGACACAATCGTTAGCCTTTCTCCGACTTTGTCTCTGCAAACTGGGTGCAACGATAGTGCTGTAGAATTTTCAAAGCACTTCACATTTATTATCCCAATAGTCCTAATAATGACTTAATAAAATAAGCTAGTATGATTATTTCCATAATGTGGTGTGTATTTATTTATCTGTTTTTGTTTGTTTTATTTACAGGCCACCTTTCTCCCCTATAGGGTACCCAAGGTGGTATGTATAGCAAAGGAGAGGTAGAAGCTGGAGACAGAATGTTGCCTGACGCTGAGGAACAAGGCTTTTTGAATTCACCACAGAGGTAAGACATAGCCCCCCTCCTTCTCAGACACCTTATTACCTTAAGTTTAACTTGGACCTGATCATTGTGTGCCCCATAGATTGGATTAACAAAGAAAAATCTGGATTTTGCTTCACTGGATTTGAGGCAGGCACATAAGCAGCTTGATAAAGCTAAATTGGAAGTAACCTCCAACTCAGCTAGGATAGATATTTGAGACAGAGAATGCAGGATTTAGCTTGAAGTGGTTTGGGAAGGTAGTGGGATCATGCCTCATCATGGGCACTAAAAGGGTGCATAACATTTACACTTAACCAAGGATTACTCCAATTTATAGGTCCTCCCCTCTGCTGGGGGACCTCGGCAGGTTGATGGTAGTCCGTAACACACCAAATTGTTAAACCACCATTTTATTTATCACAATAAAACACTGGGCCAACAGTATTGTTAGAAATTTTGTTGCTTTTTAGACTCTACTACTTTCTGATTTGAAAAGCTGGACCCAAAAGTATCAGACTATTGTATACCACAGGTACAACAACTGAATATCTTTAGAATGTTCTTCTTAACAATATTGATACACATTATACAGTCACCATGCTATTACTATGCAATATGTTGACATATGATTGCTTTCTAAAGAGCCCCTGCGATCTGGATTTTGGGAGCTGTAATCCAGAGAGGTGGCTTTTCCAAGCTCTGATTGCTTCAGCCTGATCCCGGGCTTCAACAAAGGCAGCATTCAGCAGCAAGGAGTTCAAGAGTAGCATCCAGAAACTTTCTAGAGAACCTATTAAAATATGTAAGTTGCAAGGCTGATTTGATGAAATCTTATGACTACTTCTGTCAAATGGTAAAACAGAGAAGCCAAACTCCCCTTCAGAAGACAGCTCACCGGAGGGCCAATTTGCTGTGTGAGCGCTGCCAGTCTCCAACACACTTTGATCTTTGCAAAGAAATCTCAAAAAGATACCATGTTTCAGAGACCAGACAGCAAAGGTTCTAATGCCTTCCGAAAACATCTGCATGCAGGATTATCCTGAGAACATCTTTCCCAATTCATCTTCCATTCTGTCCATGCTCCTGAGCAGGACATTGTGGTCCTCAAGCCTTCTGCTATCCATACCATCCTTGCTAATGAACCTCTAATTCCAAGAATTTGATGAGGCAATACTTACCCATTTTCATTAAATTTTTCACCAAGTGTTTGGTCTCAGGAGTTGCCTGGTTGGTCTTCTCCAAGTACTGGAGCGCAAGAATGTTGGGTACAAATTTGATCATATTTTGTTCACCACAGCCAAGGGGTAGCTGAATCAGTCCCTCTAAATGTTGCAGTGAGATGCCTAAAATATCTCCTGAATATTGAAAAAAAGGGAGGACAAAAACATCCTTTAAACCTAGAAGGGCAGGTCACTATGGGGATTTACAATGACAGTTACTGTACTGCTACTGTATAGAAGCCCCAAGCCTGTGGGTCCAAAATACAAACTAAGGATTTCCTCATTTGTAGCCTACTATGGAATGTGAGCACCTCAATCGAAAGAGAGTTGTTTCAAAACAGGTTGAAACCTTAATTACGGGTGCAGAGGACGAATATCACAAGAGGAGGAGAGTGCCTCCCACGTTTAGAGGCCGGCCATTCAAAGTCAGCCTGGGACTGGTGTGATGTTCAGGGACCTACTGCTGCCTCTGAGAAAGAAACAAAGGGATTGTTAATGCTGGGGGGCATACAGGAGCATTGTTGCATGAAGAGACTACATGTGAGAATTCTTGCTTGCAATCCATCCTTGCCCTGGGATCAAGCAGAACGACAGACATGCTTTGTATTTTTTTTTCTTACATGAGGAAAAGGGGATAAAGATTGGGCTGTGCTTTTTCTGAAAACGTCTTCCAAATTCTAACCCCTCTTTGGGGACATCTTCTGTGCCTCGTGGCGCAGTGGTTAGACTGCTGTACCGTAGCTAAAACTGTGCTCACGATCAGAGGTTCAATCCCAGGTAGCTGGCTCAAAGTTGACTCAGCCTTCTATCCTTCTGAGGTCGGCAAAATGAGTACTGTACCCAGCTCTTGCTTGGGAGGAGCAATCTGTAGCCTGCATAATTTAACTTGTACATCACCCGGAGAGTGCTTTAAGTGCCATGGGGGGGGGGCGGGTAGATAAGCAGCAGGCTTTGCTTTTTTTGCTTTTAATTCCTAGAACACAATTTCATAGTTTTTCTGGTTGTGGCCTGCTGCAGGTCTCTTCTCCACTATTCGCCCAGGAAGGATTCTCGTTAAGGCCTGGTCTCACACTATTCCTATGCCTTTTGTAAACTGTCCTGGCAGTTGTACTTCAAGCCAACTTAATTAATTTAACTTGTTTCTTACTAAACTTTTAACAAACATCTATGTAAAATATTTGCTTTGTTGTGGTCATTGGCTGAAACCCTTTTACACAACTCTGTGTGAGCAATGTGGTAATGTTAGCAGCAGCAGCGAATGCTGTGGATTAAAACTGCTTTCAGGATGCGACTCATACGCAATGCAATGAAGTAAATGCATACCTCAGCATTGCCAAATGAACCTTGTAATGAGCAGAGATTTGGCACTGCTTCTGGTGGCCACCCTGCTGTGCATGCTGTCCAATTACCAGGTAAGATTCACTCTTGTCTAATGCTGTGATAGATCGTTCCCTCATTTTATGAAAACTTCAGACAAAAGACCAAACACTCTAGTGAGCAGGACAAGTAATAATCTGTTTGAATTTTTCCTTTATAGTATCTCTGGTTTCTATCTACAGTTCTTCTGGTTTGAAGTTAATTGAGTTCAAAAATGCAAATCTATGATTTACATAAAATCATAGAAAAATGAAGTTGGAAGGGGCCTACAAGGCCATCAAGTCCAACCCCCTGCTCAGTGCAGGAATACAATCAAAGCATATCTGCCAGGAGATTATCTACCGTAAGTTTTTCTTGAATGCCTTCAGTGTTGGAGCACTCACCAACTGCCGAGGTAACTGGTTCCACTGTCGTACTGCTCTAACAATTAGGAAGTTTTTCCTGATGTATTCAACCCAAATCTGACTTCCTTTCCTTTATAATACACAATCTTATTCCTCCCCCCCCACGAATTTTATTAGAATGATATTTTAGCACTACAATTGTTTTAGAACCCTTTTTCAGCTTTGTTTGAATTATGAACAGTTCACAGTCTGTAACACAATCCACTTCTGATCTTCTTTCTACAGAGACAATAGAGCTCCTTGTGCTTCCAATAATATATTACGATATGTGTTGTTGAGTCACATTGGGTTTCCATGGTTGAGTGGTGATTTGAACCCAGGCCTACAGTCTTAGTCCATCACTCTACATACTAACCAAACTGACTCCCATCCAGGTATATAGTCCCCTTGATTTCTAAGTTGGTAATCACAACAATGACAGCTTACAATTGTCTGCTCAGTTGTCTGAAGCATATATTTGCAATAAATAAATCTGCTCTCTTGCTTCATTTCTGAATCTTAGGGCAAATTCTGACCATGTTTGGTTCTGCTTTATCTCCTACTTTGCTTCATGATTACCAGCATATCATGTTTTGGTGTGTGATCAATTTCTTCTGAATACTTGCACAAAAGCTTTCAATTTCTTCGTCTTCAGTTTCTGTAGTCGAAGCATAGACCTCAATAATGTTTATGTTGATAGACTTTCTATTAAGTGTAATTCATTTTATTTGGCTATATGTGTCATACACCATAAGGCTTTCCTTTTGCTTCCACAAAAATCAGCAACTAGAGGTACTTTTGACAGTAAGGCAGTTGTTTCATTAGTGACAGTGCTGTTTGTACTTATTCTTAGCTCTTCCCAAGTAGCTGATCAAGTGCTTTCCAAGTGGAGAGTACATCAGTACTACATCCATCTACTATATCACCCTTAGGATTCACAGTGTGGTGTAGTGGATAGAGCAATGGACTACGACACTGGAGAACAGGGTTCGAATCCCTTTTTGGTCATGGAAACTCACTGGAGGACTGGAACTGGTAAAATCACTCCTTAAATATCTCACTTCCCTTTAAAGCCTCATTCGGGCTGCCATAAGTCAGTTCCGATTTGACAGCACAGAACACACAGACACGCACGCACGCGCACGCACACACATACACAGACACCTCTTGTTTTAGTTTGGATTGTACCATCATAGGATTTTCATAAGATAAATATTCAGAAGGGGATACCATTGCCTTTTCCTGCACAGTACTAACAAAAAGCTAGCTTGAGTGCCACTGTTATTGTTTTGAACTAAGGCCATATGGGCAGATACGTGTACACACATGCCTGTGCTTCTCTGCTGGTAGAACTGGCTGCCTATATTGCAACCATAAAACAGCAACCAGACTCCTCACCTCCATCTAAGAGAGACAAGCCTGGTGGATGGCCAAGAACTGCTGGACTCAACATCTAAGGGCAACTTTCCTGGCAAAAAAATATATCTTGCCACATACTTTTGGACCTTAAGTTCTGGGCTTTAAGTTCTTCACACTGATACAATCCTGATGAAGTGGTGTTTAATCCACAAAAGCTCAGTTTATTGTGTGATGATTTTTTAGTGGTCTATGAAACATATCATCTATATTTGCCTTTAGCTTTCTGTACACACATCTTTGGGACAGCCAGCTAAGCAGATACTACTTTGAGGCTGGCATGAAAGAAAACAAACATGATCAGAGCCGCCTGCACTGAAACATGCTGTCTTCTCATCTTTACAGAGTCTGTGAATGGGAGAGACTCTTGGTCTGAAAACATTTTCTCACCAACAGCAGAAATGGTGGCATGGGCAGAATCCTTCACAACAGCTTCAGGCAGTTCAAGGGAAATGCTTTCCACCAATGGATCCCCTACAAGGAGATAAAGCCAGAGAATTATTATTAGGAGTTGGCCCGGGAGGGGATAAAATCCCCATAACTGAGACTAGTAGGAGGGTGGAAGACATCAAGGAAGGAGAAGGAAGGAGCTAATGGGGGAGGATGGGAAATATGATGGCCAGGCCTTACTTTTGGACAGCTGAAAGGAGAAACTCTAATAATTTCTTATAATTATTCCCCAGGAGTTTTAAAGGGGATGGCCTGGCTAGTTATGCCCTTGAACCTCTCCCTGAAGCAAAGGAAGAGTGAAATTTCAGAGTAAGGGTCTCAACAGGGGGGATGATAGAATTGTCATGAGGGAAAAGGAAATTCAAAGAATGAGGAAGAGTTGCTTCATAACTGGGCAGTGAAATATCTTTTCTGCATATTTCAGGCCTTTATGATTTTTTAAAATTATTTTTTTGGTTGGGGAGTGCTAGACCATCTAGTGGTAGATAGTGTTAGTGCACCTCACATTTGTTTTATTGAATATTTATTATCAACGCAGAAAGGAGAGTTGATAATATTAATGAATATGGGCTTAGATAATTCCAGACATAGATCTGAGTGACACAACTCCTCCCGGAACCTCATCTTGCCCCTGCTTATCTGCCGGGGTGTGTGTTCATCTCGAATGGGCTAGTCTTAGTCTTGAAAGATTCAGAGTGAACTGCACAGCAAGAGAAATACAAGCCCACTCACATTCACTCGCTGTGATATCACTCTGGGGAACTGGAGTTTGTTCAATTTTAGTGACCACATAGGGAAATGGAAAATACCTTGTTATTACAGTTCTACTGAAGCACTTGTGGGTGGTGCAGCTCGAAAAAGCACATTCAGAGCCACTATTTAGCTCTCCTCCCTACCATCAGTCAGGGGAGAGCTCATTTCTTTTGTCTCTTTGTGTCATGCTAACACACTAGGACACAGAGGCTTCCCCATTCCAGCTAGAAACACTCCAAGTCCTGTAGGGCCCTGGGACAAGTGAGAGTTTCTTGGCAAGGAATGCAGCCAGATTTTTACTACTTCTTGCACATTCCTTTTGTGTGTGTGTGTTTTCCATTT